GCCTAGCGAGGGTAGTACAGTACGTTTGCAGAGGACACACGGCTACCTGTAGCACACATGTTACATCATCATCGGCGACAGGTTAACTAATGCTGTGTTCGCATGCACCTTTTTCCCGTCCCCTCTCTCTCGTTTTTCCACGCGCACGCTTTTCAAACTATTAAACGGTGTATTTTTTAAAAAAAGTTTGTATACGAAAGTTGCTTAAAAAAATCAAATTAATCCATTTTTTTTAAAATAAATTAGCTAATACTTAATTAATCACGCGTTAATGGACTATTCTGTTTTCCGTGCGCAGGAGTTGGGTTCCCATCTCCCCCATCCGAGCAAGGATAATAGTATAGCTCACCTCATCTTAAAGCCAACATATATAATAATATTAGCTATAAGGTTGGCTATAATTTTCTTCTCCTCTCTTTATCTCTCACTTATACATTTAATGTATTTGTCTTGGAGATTGTGTTAAGCTAGCTCTTGCATGAGAGCCAACCCCTTTGATTTTTTGTTACCTCTCTCCTCCACATAAGTTTACAGTAAGCTTATAGCTCACTATTATACTTGCTCTAAGGGTGCGTTAGTTCCATAGACAATGAGTGAGATAGCATATCGTTTTCCACGCGCACACTTTTTAAACTATTAAACGGTGTGTTTTTTGCAAAAAAATTCTATAGGAAAATTGCTTTAAAAAATCATATTAATCCATTTTTACAATTTAAAATAGTTAATACTCAATTAATCACATGCTAATGGCTCACCTCATTTTTCATATTTTCCTAATCTTCTCAATCCCCTATTCCTCAAACTCACCCTAATTAATTATCATAACCAAACGGAAGCAGTGTTCGATTGATCAGTGGTACGCCTCCTCTTATGTCTCATATGGCCGGTAGAATTACAGCGTGTGAAGAGCAGAGAGGAGAATAGTACAGTAGTACATGGTCATATACAGGACGCGGGAATGAGGAGACATGGAGATTGGAAGCGTACGTTTGTTCTTAAATGATAGCGTTATGGGCGGGGCCGTTTCGACGTTCCCGTGTCACTGTGATACTCGTCGCGTGCTCGCGCTCGCAGCAGTCCAACAGAATGCGGACTCGCCCAATCATGGTACGGCAACAGTGTAGGAATATATGTACTGTTTGACGATTATGCAACCTGCAGTATGTGGTGGTTGTAACTTGTAGCTTAGCTATTTCTGCATCAATCAGCATAGATACGGATTACGGAGGAGGAGAGTGTGCGAGAGCCGAGAGTTGGTGCGTTGCTGCCTGTGAGACCGCGGGGGCGCTCGCGTCGCGTGCCATCTCATCGTCGAGTGACTTGTCCGTTCTACGCGGAGCATCTCGTTCCATCTCACTTCCGTTTCTATGCGATTCTACACCTGAAAGGCTGAAATCTGTAACCAGGCCATCGGTGGAAGGAGCAGGATTTTTTTTTTTTTGTAGCAGGTCAACCAAAAGTCGCCCGAAGTAGTTTTACGGGAAGCTGTGTTTTGCGACTTTGCGTGATGCGCGGAGCGGTGCGTGGTTGAGCCCACACCGTCCCCACTTTCACAGGCCCACGAGCGTGGAAAGTCGCGGCCGGCTTGCGACACGACACGGCCCGCGCCATGCCCAGGCAAGGCAACTCAACTCTGCGTCCAAGTCCAAAGCAGCGGGCCGGCCACGGTCGACGAAGCGTGGTGGCTTCGACCGCCGGCGCGTGCATCGATGATCGATCGATCAACGCACGGCATGGCCTGAACGGATTGGCGGCGCCCGTGTAAAAACTTGGGTGGGGATCCGGCGGCGCCATGGACTTCGCCTTGTCCGACGATATGTTCTTCCTTGGGGTATCGATCGCCACGCTTCGATGTGCGTATACGTAGGTTCTATGGTGGAAATTAAGAAGGCTCAAGGCAGTAAGGCACTGCAGACGGGGGCCTTGTTTAGCAGTCCTTGACTCAATCTAATCATAATAAGCCCACCGTATTCTTGTTAGCACCATACTACAACTGAGGTCATCCGTAATAATCTACTACTATCTCCATCACGAAATATAAGAAAAAACCACGTCTCAACCTCTTACAATTTAGAGAGAACACAATGCTATATTGGAAGAGTATACGAAAAACGTCCAGCTGTAGCTTCCTTCTATTATTAGTAGGTGAAACAGTCTTATACTTCTTCAATGAAGTTGCTCATAGTTAGCTTCCCATATTTAAAAAATAAATAAAATACAGGACTCTGTAGATACGCATAGCTTATCAACATCCACTACTTAAAAAAGTATGTTTCCAAACAGGTAAAACCTATTTATATGTGCGGTTGATCCACACGTCTGTTCGAAAATATCTAAAAAAATCACTATTTTTTCATGCGGATGACTCACCTGCGTGCGAGAATCCGATTTTCATGTACGGGTGCTTATGTTGTCCACCGGATCCGCACGGGGCTGTGCGGGGAGGGCCACCACCACCGGATCCAGCGGTGGCGACAGGACGGCTGCCGCACGCCACCGGATCCAGCTGTGGCGACGGGATGGCTACGACCCATGCTATCGACACACTGCCGCTTGGGGCTGCCGATGCCACCGAGGGGAGGTTGGGGAGAGAGAGAGAGAGAGGAGGAGGAGGAGGTTGAGGAGAGGTTGGTAGAGAGGCCGGCCAGGAGAAGAAACGGAGAGAAAATGTGTGGGGAGAGAGAAAATGAGTGGGGAGGGATTAGGGGAATGAGAGGTGGGAGAGAAGTTGAGGAGATACGGATTGAGGCTTAGGCTGCGTTCGATCTCTTTGTTTTGAGAGATATTTTTGACCCACACAAAACGAGAAATCCCATTAGCACGTGATTAATTAAGGGGTGTTTAGATTCAGGGGTGTAAAGTTTTGGCGTCTCACATCGGATATTATATAGGGTGTCACATGGGATGTTTGGGCACTAATAAAAAAATAATTACAGAATCCGTCAGTATACCGCGAGAATGAATTTATTAAGCCTAATTAATCCGTCATTAGCAAATGCTTAATGTAGCACCACATTGTCAAATCATGGAGCAATTAGGTTTAAAAGATTCGTCTCGCAAAATAGTCGCAATATGTGCAATTAGTTTTTTTAAGCCTATATATAATACTTCATGCAGGTGGTTAAACGTTCGATGTAATAGGGTGTAAAATTTTGGGGTGGGATCTAAACATGCCATAAGTATTAATAATTATAAACTTAAAATGAATTTATATGAATTTTTAAATATATTCTATATATAATTTTTTTTAAAAAAATGCATTATTTAATACTACCTCCGTCCCAAAATATAGCCACTTTTGGCTATGAATCTAGACACACAGTTGTCCAGATTCATAGCTAAAAATGTTTATATTTTGGGACGGATGGAGTAGTTTGAAAAGCGTGCTAACGGAAAATGAGGAAGTTGAAGATTGTAGTTGAGAAATAGAACTAGGCCTTAGTAAAATTTGAAGTTGTTGGGAGGGAAGAGATGAGTGTGATTAGACTTGCAGACATAGCTTTAAGAGGCTTCGCCTGCGTGAGATCGTTTAAGAGTCTGCATGTGAAAATAAGCTTATTTTCGTATGTGGCTCTGTTAAGAGACCCACTTGAGAAAACTGTTTTTTATACGGGTCTCTTAACAAACCGTACGCGAAAATGCAGGTCAACTTTTGTAGAGGCTATTGGTTACTAACTTACTATCCGCCTGCAAATTGTATGGTTCTCGTAAAAAAAATTGTTTATATAGCAGTGATCTACCAACAACCAGTTTTGTTAGTTTCCCATCTGGGACAGGTTATAGGATATCTTGACAAAAAAAAAAACACGAACTACCATAGGGCTTGTTTCCACCAAGGATCCTCACCTAGAATTGCTCAACTAAATGAAATTTTCGCGTGTCCCTGCGGAAAATCTGCATTATAATGCTAAAACTGAGTTATGTGGATTTGTCATTTATGTGATTATAGAGTCGTACATGCATGTATCTGCTGGAGTTTTAAATCATGACGTTTATAACTACGAATTTAGACATAGCACGGTCTAGATTTAACACACAATTTATAAAAAAACTATAGTAGTACTTTTAACACAAAACAAACAAATTACAAAAACATATACAATGCTAGATTGAGTGAAACTAATTTGATATTTTAGATGTTACTATTTTTCTATAAACTTAATCAAACTTGGTTAAGTTTGATTAAGAAAGATGTTAAAATGACTTATAAGATGAAAATGAGTAGTAGTATTTTTGTTCTCTTTTGCAAATTTGGTGTTTGGTGGAAACCAACAAAAAAACGTTTCTTGAACATGTTTTAATTTGTTGGGAAGCATTAAACTACAAAAGAAATATGATAGTCATGACGATTTTCTCGAGTCCTCAACATATATACACATAAATGGCCCACGAAAGAATATTTGAACTTGGGTCCCCTTACTCAGGAAAATGACAGGGTGAAAGCATATTCTGTCTAGCTTAGAATTTAAATATGTGATATCCAGGTAATTGAACCATGACAAAATAGTAAATCTCAGTTTAGAGATAACACTTGCCTCCACGTTTCCAAATATCTTTGCACCACATTGCTGTGCACAATGCAATAAATCCATTTCACACTTTTTGGCCGAAAAAAAATCCATTCCACACTGACCTGGATGCCATAAACCTGATTAACACGGGTAGATCGGTTGCATTGAACTTATATACTCCCTCCGTTCCATAATATAAGGGATTATAAGATTTTGCTTGCAACGTTTGAACACTCGTCTTATTTAAAATTTTTTGAAATTATTATTTATTTTATTTGTGACTTACTTTATTATCTATAGTATTTTAAACACAACTTTTCGTTTTTTATGTTGGCAAAAAAAAATTAAATAAAATAAGTGGTCAAACGTTGTAATAAAAAACTCAAAATCTCTTATATTGTGGAACGGAGGGAGTAGAAGAAAATTAATTCCAGCCGTGTCATACTACTACTAATCATCTCAAACAGAAAATTGAAAAAAAAAACAGGAAAAAGAGGCCTGGCCCACAAACCAGGTATGGCCCTTTGTTTATCTTCCCGTGCCACGTCGCCACTGCGCCACACCATAAAACCCCATTGCCCTCTCCACTCCGCTCCCCTCCAAGCCTCCAACTACTCCAGTCCACACCCGCACCACCGCGGCAGCCATGGACGACTCCCACGACCTGGCCTCCCCGACCTCCCCTGACACGGCGTCCTCGTCGTCTTCGTCTACGTCGACATCATCGTCCTCCGCCACCGTCGCCCCGAAGAAGCGGCCGCGCAACGACGGCCGGCACCCGACGTACCGCGGCGTGCGCATGCGGAGCTGGGGGAAGTGGGTGTCCGAGATCAGGGAGCCCCGCAAGAAGTCGCGCATCTGGCTGGGCACGTTCGCCACCGCGGAGATGGCCGCGCGCGCGCACGACGTGGCCGCGCTCGCCATCAAGGGCCGCACCGCGCACCTCAACTTCCCGGACCTCGCGCACCTGCTCCCGCGCCCGGCCACCGCGGCGCCCAAGGACGTGCAGGCGGCGGCGCTGCTCGCCGCCGCCGCAGCCGACTTCCCCTCCGTCTCCGTCGACGCCAATGCCAAGAGCCCCGACACCTGCTCCGTCGCCAGCGCCGCCTCGCCGCAGCCGCCACCGCCGGACGCCGAAGCGGACCCTGACAGCACGCTGTTCGACCTCCCGGACCTGCTCCTGGACCTGAGATACGAGACGTCCTCGAGCCTCTCGTGCGGGGCGTCGTGGGCCGTCGATGACGACGTGGCCGGCGGCGTCGTGTTCCGCCTCGAGGAGCCCATGCTGTGGGATTACTGATCAATGTGGCTGCTCATGGGAGCCAGTCATGCTTCCGTGTATTAGATCGATCAGTGGCTTGTACATGGCGGTGCTTCTTTTCTTCTTCTTTACTCTGCTTCTGCTCTGTTCTCTTTCTTCTTTTCTCCCTTTGTATTTTGTTTTTTTTCCTTCCATTTTTTCTTCTTTTCTTTGCCAAATCTAGCATGCGAGGTTGTATAAAGTCAGTTCCTTTTCCTCGCCTTGCTTGATTTGGGGGACAAGAATATGTATAATTAACAAGCATCTTATCTTCGACTATCCCTTTTCTAGCTTGTTTTGTTTAGTGGTAAAAAGTGATCCAGCAAGATTTGGGCCAAATGGACAGTGTGATATTCACGCATGACGCATCCGATTTGCACCTTTCCGGTGTTTTAGCAGCTCGTCACCGGCCTTGGAAGCCACGGTAAGATTCGTCCACGCCATTCAAAATCGTCCCAGCCTTCCAGCTCCACCTTAACCACAGCACAACAACAACAACAACAAAAAAACAAGAAAAGAGAAGAGACGCGCTAGCGATTAATCGATTGACTCCTCCCGCTCGTCGTCGTCCTGGACCTGCACGACTGCACTGCACACTGCCTTCAGAGCTGCGCCGCGATGGCGACGTGTGGCGCGGCAGTGAGCGGGAGCGCATAAAGGCCCCGAAAGCGACGGTTTCCGCGTAAAGACAGCGGCTTCCCGGCTACGCCAAAGTTAATGCCGTCTCGTCGTCGCACAGCCCGGGCCACGCTTCGCCCGCCGTACGTACGTCGTCGCTCGCGGCCACGGCGGCTCGCCTGTCCGCGCCGCGTCAGCCTGGAGGAACGTGTGCGTGCGCGTGGGTGATGGGCGAGCTCCGGAAGACGCCAATGCGGCCGCTCGAGAAGCCTGCGAGACGGTGCGTGACCAGTCCGCGCTGCCGGCCCGATGATTGTCTTTCGTGCAAGAGACCATGTGCCGGCGCGCGAACGATTTGATCCTTGTGGGGGAAGGCTGGCTCGGATTAGACGGATGGCTTGGCTTGATCCGCTGGGTTAACTAGCCTAACCTGGCCGCTAGTTTGCCTACCAACAACTTGTCCCGGGGTTAACATCTTAACGAGTACTCCTACTCTCGTACTATACCAGTTAGTCCTACTCCCACTGCACCCACCCTGCTTTTAACTCGGTCCTTGTGGATGGATTGCGTGAACAATTTTCCTTTAGGTCCGGCTGACTCGTCGTTGCCGATGGTCTGAGGCACAAATTGAATACTCATAGCTTTGCAGTGGGGGCGCATTCATGGGGGAATCGCGGTTTCTGCGATCCCCAAATCCTTTGCCCAAATCGACGTTGTGCACGTAAGCCTGTCGATTTTCGTGGTGATCAATACTCCTGCTATGCTTTTATAAATTCCGCGGTCAGGCAGGTGTCGGATCCTCGTCGGAAACGACACTTGAGTTAAGCACAAGTCTCCGCTGTCCAATTTCAATCTATATTGGGGTTAAGTATACGGATTGTATCACTATTAGTATAGTACTATAGAAATACTAGTCGTAGTACGTTCCAGAATCAATCAGAGTACTGCATACATGCATTCCCGCCATAACTAGCCAGTGGAGAACTGGAGATACGTGCTCGGAGAATACGTCTAAAATCACGGCGGCACACCTACGTCGATCGATCCGTGCAACCACTTGCAATGAGTATCCAACTGTCCGTGCATTAGCAGGAGCTCTTGATTTGGCTCGCATTGGCATGGAAAAGGAAGATTCTGTCGAGCATGGCGGCACGACGACAAGGCACAGAGACGCAGACCAACATGGATTGATGCTTCTCTACTGCTCTGCTCCTCAAGCAACAGTGATGAGAAAACCACATGAAAAAAGGTCGCGGAGAATAAAGACCGTCGTCGTGCATGCCATCCATCGCTGAATGACTGATCGATCGGGGCAACTCAAAAAAAAAAAAAGACTGATCGATCGGGGCCATATGGTGTGTGTTGTGCTGCCACTGCCAATTTCCTTGGAGTATCGGACACGTTACGTGCAGCGACGGGCTAATCTTTTCCCGTCCCTTTTTTCGTCTCCTCCCCAACGTGCATACGGTCTCGGCCTCTCCGTTGTTAGATCGCGAACCGGTTTGTTAATACGGCGAGAAGGGTGTTTACGATCCCTGCGTGCGGCGACCAGGTTCAGCCGTTCAGGCCGGGGGGGAGCCAGGTGTCCCATCCCATGGCAAGTTCGTGGTAATGAGGTCCAACTGGCGAGACCAGATGCTTGGGGTACAGGCTGGCGAGTCGTACCACCAATCTGGAGGCACTGTCACGCACGCTGACGGCAGTACGGCGCTCTCTCTTGCTCGCCATGGGACACAGCTGCGCATCTGCTGTGAGGACTGAAGAGAGAGAGAGAGAGAGAGAGAGAGAGGAGGAGCTGTTGGCTTCATCTTGTCACTGTCTAGGGGCATCCCCTTCAAGTCTCTCAGCTCTTGGGAGCTGGGTCTTTTGACGGTACGAGTAGAATTGGAGGATGGAGCATACTAGCAGCAGCCCGTTTGTTGCCTGGCTGGTGTACATTAGGCAGGTCTTGGTTGGATCCAAAAAATTTTGGTTAAAAATATAAAATTAAATGTTTAGACATTAAATGTTTAGACATATGTATGATTTATTAAATATGAAAAAAAAATCAATTACGCAATTTGCATGTAAATTACGAGACGAATTTTTTAAGTCTAATTACGTTATAATTTGATAATGTGATGCTACAATAGCTAAAGAACTAAACAGTGTAGCAGTAGAAGTAGTAGGAATGCATGCATAAAGTGCATCTTCTTCTAGATGCAACCCCTTTCATACTTCTAGTACTGACTATGTTTCGGTTTCGGATCAGGATGAGCGTGTAGTTGGCATACGCGGGGGACACTACGAACCAAATCTTTGTGCTTGCTTGTGCCTGATTATTGGTGGTATGGCCATGGCATAGGCATGGATATGATTGATTGCAGTTTCACCAACAAAAGAAAAGTCAAAGCACTCACGGAGATTGGAGGGTGTGTTACACTTATGTGCCGCCTAGTAGTAGCTCGTAATCTAGGCTAGTAGCATCCCGTACTGAAGCGAGGTCGTTGGACCATACGGAGGCAGTAGAAGTAGAGTACTCGTACTCCACGGTAGTACTACTGCTCCGTCCGTCACAAAATATAAATATTTTTAGGGCCTGTTTGGTTTCCAGAGACTTATTCCAAGTCCATGTCATATCGGATGTTTGGACAGTAATTTAGAGTATTAAACATACACTAATTACAAAACACATTCCATATCCTTGGACTAATTCACGAGACGAATCTTTTGAGTCTAATTATGTCATGAATTTGACAATGTGATGCTACAGTAAACTTTTTATAATTATAGATTAATTAGGCTTAAAAAATTCGTCTCGCGGATTAGCTCTCATTTATGAAATTAGTTTTTTTATTAGTCTATGTTTAATACTCCAAATTAGCGTCCAAACATCCGATGTGACATGGGCTAAAAAGTTTTAGCCCCATCTAAACACCCCCTTAAACTCTTACATGATCTCCGAGATACTATTTTAACCAACAATATTTATAAATATAAAATTGATGTTATTAGATGTTTTAAATAATATCTAGTAACATCAATTTTATATGATTGATTTTTTATTTTTTTTTGTTATTAGTGGTCAAAGTTAAAAATATTTAATTTGTCACTGTGTTAAAAATGTTTATATTTTGGAACGAAAAGAGTAGTAGTTTGAGTTTGGCGTTGCTCGGTCAAAATGAAAATTGCCTGGCGCTAAAGAGCATGAGCAACGCTGCCTGGCGCTAAAGAGCATGAGCAACAGCAGCAGCGCGTCGCCGTGCTCTTCTTCCGTACAGCAGGCATGCGCCCGACGCAGCACAGGGATTGTGAAAAGCTGGGTTGGGCGGCCCGGCCGCGGCTGGCTAGCGACACGGATGGCCAGAGAGAGGCCGCGACGTCGCCCGATCGCTAGTGTACGGAGAATTGATGGAGTTTCATCGACACGCGGGGGGTGCGAAAGGCTGCTGTCGCCTGCGCGATGGGGGGCGCAGGCGGCAGACGCAGGCGGCAGCTAGCGCGCGTCCACGCATCGGTGTATCGCGCAGGCGGCAGCTAGCGCGCGTCCACGCATCGGTGTGCGCTCCCCGCCGCGTGGCCGGTGGTCAATCCGCACCGCCCTCCGCCGCGTTCTCCTCCTGGCGCGTTTCAAGTTTCCTCGACCCCCCCTCCCCCCATCTGCACATCACGGTGCGGTTTTTAATTTTGATAGAGTAAATTGTACTTTTGGTTCACCTTTTATTACCCAAGTTTTAATTTAGACCACCCTTAAATATATTTTTTAAATTTAGACCGGGTAAATTTACCATTGTTACGGTTTGGACTATTATGAACAACTTTTCTCGTCATGTCTAACTTCCCTTTCGGCAAACATATGAACCACACATAGAGAAGTTCGGCCGTATACTAGAGCTAATGTGTTTAACGTCATTAATTGTACTTAAAAAAATTGTTCGTGGTGGTCCAAATCGTAACAATAGCAAATTTATTCGGTCTAAAATGAAAAGATATGTTTAAGGGTGGTTCAAAGTAAAACTTAGGTAATAAAATGTGGTCCAAAGCGTAATTCACTCTTTTTGATAAGAGTACTGTAGTAAGGTTTGGTTGGATTTCGAAAACAAGAACATATGCTGCCGCATACGTATAATGCTGTTTGGTCTTTGACTCGTGTTTCTGTTCTGATGCCAAATGTGATGCACTAGAATGGCCTGATGCTCTCTTGGTCATCAGATTGCGTTGGTCATCAGATTGGTGATGGTGGGAAAAGGCAGCTACTGACTACGTTCCAGAATACTTGTCATTGAGTTTTTGTTTATAACTTTTAATCTTTCGTCTTATATAAAAAATTATAGAATTATTATTTATTTTGTTTGTGATTTGCTTTATTATCAAAAGTATTTTAAGTATATCTTCTCTGTTTTTATAGTTATACTAATTTTTCAAATAAGATGAATGATCAAATATTACAAGAAAAAAGTTAAAGCGACTGCTAATTTAAGACAGAGGTAGTAGGAATCAAAGGGAGGAGTAAATCAAATCGAATGATTCCTGTCCAACTAACCCTGATATTTTTTTGCAAGACAACTAGACAAGCATTTGCATCGAGTCAACCAGCCCTGGGTAAGTAGCTTGAGCAATTGAATAATAAAGAAGAAAATTTAACAAAAGCTTAAAAAAACCATTGACTTCTGTTTAGTTTCTGTTTATCCTA